ACGGACTTAAGACTTACACAGACTCACTCCCTCTGGGCTCCAGCACCGAGGCAGCAGCTGGTAGGGCACCAGTGGCATATGGGGAAAAACTGAAGTGCTTGGCATCAGGGCAAGTGCTGGGGGACAGTTTCCTCCTAGACAAAACTGCAGAGGCCAGGCAGCAGCTTTGTCCCCTTTCTGAGCCCTCCCCCACACAAAGCCACAGAGTGGTGACACCATATCTGAGATTTAGACTATCTTAGATAATCTAAGGCTCCTTCCCACCCAATTTACAGATGTGCTTTTCTACAATAGGCCATGCTACTAAGACAGGGAATCAAAGCAGCTCTACCTAGTACACAGAAACATAGAGAAAGGCTGCCAAAATGAGGAGACAAAGGAATATGGCTCAAATGAAAGAACAGAACGAAACTCCAGAAAAACACCTAGACAAAACGGAGATAAGCAACCTATCAGATGCAGAGTTCAAAACACTGCTTATTAGGATGCTCGAGGAACTCACTGGATCCTTCAATAGCATGAAAAAAGACCCAGGCACAAATGAAGGTTACACTAAGTTAAATAAAGAAAAATTTACAGGGAACCAGCAGTGGAGTAGATGAAGCCAAGAATCAAATCAAACATTTGGAATATGAGGAAGAAAAAACCATTCAATCAGAAGAGCAAGAAGAAAAAAGAATCCCAAAACATGAGGATAGGCTAAGGAGCCTCTGGGACAATTTTAAACATACCAACATTCAAAACCTTGAGGTATCAGAAGAAGAAGAGAAAGAGCAAGAAATTGAAAACTTATTTCACAAAATAATGAAAGAAAACTTCCCTAATTTGGTGAAGGAAATAGACATACAAGTCCAGGAAGCACAGAGAGTCCCAAACAAGATGGACACCAAGGGGACCACACCAAGACACGTCATAATTAAAATGTCAGAGGTTAAAGATGAAGAGAGAATCTTAAAAGCAGCAAGAAAAAAAGTAGTTACCTACAAAAGCCATAAGATTGTCAGCTGATTTCTCAAAAGAAACTTTACAGGCTAGAAGAGACTGGCAAGAAGTATTTATTCAAAGTGATGAAAAAAGCAAGGACCTGCAACCTAGATTACTCTATCCAGAAAGGCTATCAATTAGAATCAAAGTACAGATAAAGTGTTTCCCAGGCAAGGTAAAGCTAAAGGAGTTCATCATCACCAAGCTATTATTATATGAAATATTAAAGGGACTTATTTAAGAAAAAGAAGATCAAAACTGTGAACATTAAAATGGCAATAAATTCACAACTATCAACAACTGAATCTAAAAACAAACTAAGCAAACAAGCAGAGGAGAAACGGAATCATAGTTATTGAGATCGTTTGGAGGGTTATTGTTGGGAGAGGGGAGGGGAAGAATGAGGGGAAAGGTACAGGGAATAAGAAGCATAAATGGTAAGCACAAAACAGACAGCAAGAGGTTAAGAATAGTATAGGAAAGGAGAAGCCAAAGAACTTATATGCACAACCCATGGACATTAGTTTATGTCCACCAAACTAAGGGGAGATTGCTGGGGGGAATGGGGTACCAGGTGGATGGGAGCAAAGGGATAAAAATTGGGACAACTGTAATAGCATAATCAATGAAATGTATTTCAAAAATTGGAAGGAGGTACACCAAAAAAAAGGTCAGCCATACATTATTGTTAGGGAATGTAGGATGCTCGTCAGTCCCGTCATGTGCTTGTACTCAACCTGTTTTATATTAATTTAGTAACATTTTTCCAATTCCAGGTTTTGCGGCAGGGGCTAAGAATACCATTTGTCCCAACCCTTGGATCCAGTCATCTTTCTTTATCTGGGTTCCACTTGAGATTCTGCCTCTTTACTCTGGTGATTAAAATTGACTTGTGCTCATTTTTTGCATTTGATTTTTGGACACTCGCCCATTTAGTTCCTCCTTTTAAAATAACAGACAATTTCTCCATCTCCTTTTGTTACCATGTATAAATTTACAACCTTTTGAAATGACTCGTGCTGGGAGACTCTCCCATCCATCTCTTCCCCAAGGAGCCTCGTTGCTCCTGTTCTGGCAGTTTGGCGCTTAACACGAAGCTCTTTGCATTGGTGCCGTTGGCGGTGTTCTCTAAATTACAGTCTGTATGCTTTCCTTAGAGCGACACACACTTTCCTTCCCTGTGGTGGGGGGGTCACTTAGGGAAACGATTTGAATTAGAATATGGGCCCAAATGTCTACTGCAAATAATTAATCCATTAAAAAAGCCAAGTTTTACACCGGACATTCTCAGTCTCCTGTCCCCTTGCTCACAGGAAAGAGTAGGGAAGGAGCATCTAATTGGCCTAACCTGGGTCATACTAAGTATCACATGCTGACAGAGGCAGGTGATTGAAATCTAGGTGAAAGGTGAGTGGCATACATTCAACTCATTGTATATATTTTGGCATATGGTCAGCAATGATTATATATATTCTCAGAATATGTGTGTTGAAGGAAAAGTTCATAGTATAGATCTGTTCTGTGCTGTACTCAGTACACAGTGAATTTCTGATAAATGCAAAACATTAAAGGGGTGAGCTCAAATACAAATCTTTTTAATTTCTTTTTTTTAAAGATTTTATTTATTTATTTTTAGAGAGGGAAGGGAGGGAGAAAGAGAGAGAGAAACATCAATGTGCAGTTGCTGGGGGCCGTGGCCTGCAACCTAAGCACGTGCCCTGACTGGGAATCGAACCTGTGATGGTTTGGTTCCCAGCCTGTGCTCAATCCACTGAGCTACACCAGCCAGGGCTTTAATTTCGATATTTCTGTTTTCTGTGTTCTTAAAGACTAGGTACATTAATGGTAAGACGTCTTACTATGAATTCATGACACACTGATTGAGCAAGAACCTTCAGGAATTTGTAAAGGGAAGTCACCAAGGCCCTGTCTTGAGCTTTCTGTTTTGGAGAATGTGTACATGTGTGTGTCAGAAGGGAGGGGTGAGGGGCCACAAAAACCTTTGGGTGAGTGTGGAAATACGGCGTCATCATGTGTGTGAGGAAACCTTTGTACTGTTTGCGTAACCAGTCTAGAACACAAGAACCATCCTTGGGAAACAGCTTTGTTAATTCAAGAGTCTTGCTTTGTCAAATTGTCTGATGTTTAAGATTATTTGAACACATGCTTAAATAAATGTTGGACCATTGAACATTGCCTGATTGGCTATTCTTACAGTAAGAAAATACTGTTAACCCTGAAAGTTTCCCTCATGAACACAGGCTAGGAGATTGTACTTCAACAACAACCAAACAACCAAACAAACAAACAAGTAAATGAATGAATGAATTAATTAAAAGTTTGCTTGAATAAATAAATGAATAAATAAACAACAACAACAAAAGAGATAGGCTAGGAGAAAGGCTTGGCTCCAGCAGAGTTTTCACCCAGCCCACCAGTCATCCTTCCACAAAGCTGGACAGACTTCCCTTTTAATGAAAAAGCCCAGGACGAGGGAGCCAGACCAGCTGTTAAAATTACAGTGTGACAGCACACATCTTGGGTTTCTATTCACAGCCTTTCCACTACTAATGTTAAGTCTTAAAAATCTCAGGTAATCACTGTCTGAGGCAGGGTTGTGTATCTGGTTGGGTTTTTTGTCATCAGCAGCGGAAACCAACTCTCATTAACTTAAGCAGAAGGAACTGCATTGGAAGGATATTAGGGAATTGATAAGAAGGCCAAGGAGCTAGTCTGGGAATACACAGGAAACAAGATGAATCTGGAAGTCCAGGAACCAAGACGTCCCTGAGGTATTTGTAGTAGTTGCTGTCTGGGCAGGAAAAAGGTGAGGCCGACCTTCCCGGCCTCCTGTGCCCCTGATCATGGGGAAACCATGGGGAAGGCACATCTAACTGGCCTCTCTTGGGTCCTGTTACCGCGGCACCTTGTCCTCCAGGTCTTATCCAAGACAGGTCATTCTCCAAAAGGGAATTAGTATGAACTTATTGAAGGTTATTCTGAGTAGCCAAAAGTAGCAAGTGGCTACCACAGGGCAGTGGAAGGGATCAAATGGCAGCAGGAGGCCGGGACTAGTTTTCCTTCAGTAAATGAGAGTTAGAAGTGTGTGTTCATGCACGTCGGCCATGAGGTATATCTTTTTCAGGCCCTCTATATGCCCGCCTCACCCCGCCCCTTCTTTCTCTCTCTTAGTTTGAGCCCTAGAAGGACAGTCCTATTGTAATGTTGATTTGTACACATGTGGATGCATGTATGTTAAAGGTGTTGGTGGTGAAGCAGTTAGTTATACATTCATCAATTTTGAGCACTTGATCTTTCCATGAGGCCCTCTTCCTTGACTGACTCAGTGTTCACCATTGGCCCTGTGGCACCGTTTACTAGTTAACCTGCTCTGTCCCTCACTGCCCAGTGAGGGAGGGTTTTGTGTGTCAAGTATGTTCATTAATAGCCATACTTTTTCCTTTTGGACTTTCTGGATAAGTAAACTCATACCCCAACTTGATTTTAGTTGGTTGTCGGAGTCAATTTATGCATGGAGCACACAGTTGCTAAGTAAACATTGCTTAGTGATTAAAGCTGTACTTTTAAGGGAATATTAATTTACCCTGCCAAACCTTCTTATTGCAGAAATGGCAGTAGAATCTGCCACCTGCTTCTGTATTCTCCATTTCAAAAGGAGAGTGCAGTCTTTCAAAAGGAAGTGAATTTTAATATCCTGGAATACAGGGAGGGCATGATTTTTTTTACTAATCTATGAACTTTTAACAACATTTGTAGTTAAAAGTTCATAGACATTTGTAGTGTACCTCCTGGGTGTAAGAAAATTGATTAAATGCAATTTTTATCAAATTAATTTTTAAATGATTTAGTGGCACGCCTATCTTAGTCCCTGCAGAGCTCTAAATTTCTGTAGCTCTTACCATCAACTTTGAACTGTGAGTCTAATGCTCAGCGGAAACCTTCTGGACGTTTTATGGAGTGTTGCAAAAACTTGACCCAGTGTGTTTCTCTTCCAGCACCCAGTGCTCGATGAGCCAATAGCCGAAGCTGTCTGTATTATCGCAGACACGGATAAGTGGAGTGTCCAGGTGGCCACGAGCCAGAGGAAAGTGATGGACAGCACGAAGCTAGGCCAAGACGTCTTGGTCTCTAGCCAGGTGTCCAGTTTACTTCAGTCCATTTTACAGCTTTACAAGCTCCACCTCCCTGCTGATTTTGTAAGTATTTGTTCTCATGTCACCAAAGAAATGTAGTTAGAAAACACTATTAACTGTACTTTGAAGAAGGTGCTTTGAGATACATCTCTCTGTCATCTAAGTAGTGGCAGTGTGGCATCACAAGGAGACCGGTGAACGTAACTGGGTTAAAGTCTAGCTTAGCCAATTGGTTGTGTGATGGGGGAGAAGCCCAGATGTCTCTGAACCTCAGCCTTCTCGTTTGTAAGATGAAGATAAGACCTGTTCAACAAGCGTGTTGTGAGAATGCTCTGAAAATTAGGGCTAAGGTATTGCTTTCTAAACTGTCAAAACAGTTTAAAACAGCCAGTATACGGCAGTGGCCACCACCTGGGCATTAAAGCCTGAAGTTCAGACCAAGCTCAGCTGTGGGACTTCTCAAAGTCTCAATTATCTGTGAAGCTGGGGAATAATAGACCCTAACTCATTATGAAAATCAGATAATTTACATAAAGTTCTTAGGGTGGTGTTCGTGTTACAAACGCTGAGGAAAGCAGCTACTATTTGTATGATCAATACTAGTTTCATCAATAAATATGAATGGTTGTAAAGACTGACAACGTTTTTTCACTGAAATCTTTACTTGGGCTTTAAACTAAAGCTTACTCCTACACCATATCTCTCTCTCGAGTAAAATGAGAAGAAACTATGAGTTCCCACAACCTAACTTGTCTTCTACATTTGAAGGCAGATTTTCTTTCTAGTAGCAAGTTACATTTTTCCGATGTTGAGATGGAAATCTCCTTTTCTGTAAGGGAAGGAAGATAATTCAAGTTTTTAGTTTTTTGCTGTTACAGGTATTCGCCAAACTTTATATTTTATTCTCTAATATATAGCTCTTATTACTTCTGACATCTTAGTTTTCCAAGCAATAAATTATTGTCACTAATTCTTTTTTACTTCATTTGGATAGAAATATGTTTAACCACTTAATAACATGAATGACTTAACCTTGCGAAACTAAGATCGGAGGAAATTTCATCTGCAGTTTAAAAATTCGCCTTAAAAATTATTTGAATGAAACATGTGATTAAATGCCTGTTAGAGCTTTCAGTATGAAAGGAGAGCTTTAAATAGTAGCTATTTAAAGTTTCAGAAGTTAAAAATCAAAGAAATTCATCTCAGGATTAAGTTGCCAGAAAGGAGAAGGAAGAACTCACAGTTCTATTAAATAATCAAGCCTTTTAAAAAACAATGCTAAACACTTTGATTTCAAGAATAGTGTACATTCCATATAGGCCAGTGTTCTCTTTGACATTGCAACTGTCAAACTGTGAAAACACCACACATCACCTATTTTAAAACAAAGGAGTCAGTGTAATGTGAATGTTCTTTTTAATATTTTATAACACTCTTATTAAAAAGCTTATATTTATACCATAAGGAACTGAAACTTAACAGGAGAGAGACCCTTTCACCACCAAACTCTGTTTATTTGGGAGAACATTTCACGAGGATTGCTGAACTCCTCCTTGCTGTGATTATCACACTGAGTCACTTACCAGTTGTGTTTCATCTACCCAACACCAGGCATTTGAAATTTTAAGCCAATGAAAAACTGAAAAGATTACATTTCTAATGGATAATTTTTCCATGTCACTGATCAGCCCAGATGGTCAAGATCAACATTCTCAAATGCATCTGTTAATCTTTTTTACCTTGAAAATAGCAGGCGTAATGGTCTAGAAGAAAATGATGTATGATAGCATTACCCTCGCCAGAGCCATCAGGTGTCTTACTGAAGATGCTTGGACAGCTCCACCTGCCAAACGCAAAAGCTTTTGCCTCTGGTGAAAGGCACAGATGGTGGCTGTTCTCTAAAAAATGAAGTTGGACACGATTCCAAGGGTAGAGATGTCCTGAAACTAATTGTCCTTTATTTATTGTTACTGAAGACCTAGTTAAAGTACAGTCTTGAGAGACAGGAAAAAAAAGAACTTCACAATAACCTTGTTCCAGTCATTCTACTTCTGGGAATGTGTTGTGCCAAAATAATTTGATATGTAGAAAAAAACAACAACAGAGATATCCTTTACAGAATTATTTATAATAACAAAAATGAGAATTGTTATGTGGTTAATAAAATAATGGTAAATCACAGTCTCAAAAATCATTGGCCATAAAATTATACTGATAAAGAATTTTTACTGACATGAGGAAAGGATTATTACAAAGTTTTTTAGAAGCAGGAAATAATTGCACTTATAGAATGATTTCAGCTATATAAAAAACAAATGTTTTTTTGAAAAGACTAGAAGATATATATGAAAATCTTAATAGTCATTGGAAAAGATAAACTTTGTCTACAAAAGTCTATTCTTATACTACTAGTGTTAGGGTTTGAGATGGCTTGTAATTTTTAAGTGTATTTGAAAGTGTATTTTAAGTGTATTTTTAAGTGTATTTGGTTACAATTGTGAACTTGGAAGTGAACTAAGAGAACCCTAGCTGCTAGAATACCGGCAGAGGCTCATGTTCCTGCCCTCACTATGGATGTCCTTGGCTTCACAGTGCATCATGCATCTTGAAGACAGACTACAGGAGATGTACCTTAAAAGTAAGATGCTGTCTGAATATCTTCGTGGACACACACGAGTCCATGTGAAAGAATTAGGTGTCGTACTGGGGTGAGTTCTGTGACGTGTCATCTTTTCTCCATGTGATGGGGTTGTCCCTAGCACTGTACCCATTTGGCTTGTGCCCCCTAAAACCTGCTGGCCCCAGCACTCCATCACAGTGCTTGGGGACCCTGAGATGTGTGCTTCTGCTGCTCCCCAGGGAACAGTGTGTTCTTTGTATCTGATACCAGAGTATCACGCCCAGAAATAAGCACAGAACTTTAAGCTAGTGGTATATTATGTTAGTCTCTCTGGGTTATTTTATGTTTGGAAGTGAAACATCCAACCCCACTCTGTGTGCCCATTCCTAGTCATTTCAGTAGGCTGTGGAAGGCGCCCCTGTCAGACACGCAGCAGCAGCCTGTGCTCCCCTTCTGCATGGGGGGAGGCAGGAAGGGCGTTGTGCGCTTTTGGGGCTGGCCGGCATGCTCGCGGGGTGACGGCGCTCCCCCCCGCCTTTGATGATGAGCCCGGAAGAGGAGACGTGCTTGTGTTACTAGCAGTGTCCAGTGTCTTCCTGAGGGTCTTTGCCATGACTTCTCGAGAGAAGAAATCCTGGCTTTGTTTCACTCTGCTAAATGTTTCAACACACTAACAAAAAGATCGTGGATATGGGGGACTTGTCCCCCTACCTATGACGACGATTCCCCCAATTTGGGCAAGAAAATATTATATATGTATTATCCATTTTGAAATTTTCTATTAAGTCTGCTCGTCATAGTATCAAGACCCAGGCCTTTGCATTCTTGTCAGACTCTTCATCTTTCACACCCAGGGTGGGACTTACTGTGTGGTTTGGCTCCTAGCATTTCCTCACATATTTCATTTTTGAAGTATTTTCCCCTTTTGAGAGGCACTTGCTTTGGCAGTTAACTTACGGAGTGTCTCTTTGTTGTGTTTTGTTCTTAGTTTTGGTTTACCAGCCTCATACTTGCATCTCGCTGCATGAGGTTTCCCATTGCCCGATGGGCGCCTTCTATTTCCAGGACTCTTACCTGGCCCCTGACTCTGACATGTGTCCACCATCCGCACTGTTAGACGGATCATGGGATTTACGTGCACTTCTCATCTCTGGGCCCCCTTAGTCTATTATTAGGGGGAGTCATGCCCAGGGTCAGGGCCAGCAGCACCAAAGGTGCCAGAGAGCCCCTTATCCACCTGAAACTGCATCTCTAGGAAGCATTACTGGAGAAAGCATATAAAAACTCCATGAGGTAATGCCGGCTACTTTTTTACATTTCTTCTTTAATTTTTTGTGGAATTTAAGGCAAAGGTGAGGACATATTTCGCAGACGGAAGCAATCCTTAGTTTTTTCAGGACATTTGTCAGCATGTAGTCTGTGACAGTGCTGTACCTGCCTCTGCTGTAAGAGAGGCAGCCACAGTTGTGTCCGTCTGACGTGCGATGTCTTTTGATTCACTATCTGTTAGTGTCACTTTGCTCTCAGAATGTCGCCACTCAGATGCTTAGTGAGGATCTATGTTGTATAGCCTGTTGAACAAATCCCCGGGGTTTTGGGAGAAATTACCACCTTCATTATTTTCCAAAGAGTAAGTGTAACTTAGGTGCAGAATCAGTGTGAATGCGGGATGTTGACTGGAGGAATGAGGAGATAGTGGAGAAAACATGGAAGTACGACATGATGAGGTTGCACAGGGCACACAGACAAGTCAGGAATTTAAAACTGGAGACCCCGGCCGTGGGAGGACCGCTCTGTGTCCGGACGTATGCTCAGCACACCTGCCTCGCCCTGTCCTCTGGGCCGGTCCGCTGGGAGCGCACGTCAGATGGACAGGTTTATCGCCGTTCTGCCTGTCTGGCTTTTTCTCTGGTTTTAAGCAATGACCTAGCAAACTTGGTACCCAGCAATAATACTTAACTGCAAAATCATGCTACTGTAAAGTAATCGCCTTTTCCTTTTCAATATCCAGGATTGAATCGAACGACCTGCCCCTGCTGACAGCTGTCGCCAGCACTCATTCTCCTTATGTCGCTCAGATACTCTTATAAGCTAAAGCTCAGGACAGTTCTTCCTTGGAAGAAACAAAAAACACAGATTCTCAACTGAAGGAGAAAGGAATAAGCTCTTGTGACATCGAAAGCATAAGAAGAGCAAACAGAAATAGTCATTCCACCTCTTTGTTTCGTTTTGTTTTGTTGCCGTCAAGCGGATGCTTCATTGGAACTTAGGTTTACTTGACATGATGGCATGTGTGTGTTTCATGAACACTGCAGGCCTGTTGTTGCCCGGGAGTCAGCACAGTGACCTTCTTGGTAGGAGGAAGCATAGCACTACACTAAACACTAAGCTGTCGGTACAGATTGCCTTGTATGTTCGGACCGAATGACAAGTGACTTTGGAGCAGGAGGCGAACCGTGTACACGCCATTCCAGGAGGAAATGTTTCAGGGCTTAAGCATGAGCTCTCCACACTGGAGAAAGCATTATTTTGCTGTTCTAAGAAGACAGTCGGAAAAAAGGATTTCAGATTCCAAGTGAGAGTTTGCTTTTTACAAAAGGTGAAGTAAAGAAAGACACATTGTGCCGCCTTCAGCTCTGGTGGCTGCAGGAGTGACCGTCTGACACGAAGCATGAAAGAAAATTGACTGTTGGGAAGTGTGCTTTAGGGACCCACTGTTTCACATCTCGGAGTTTACCTTGTCTCAAATGTAGCCACAGGTGGGTTAGAGGTGGATTGTTGGTGCAATAAACCCAAGAATCAATGTAGCATCCTAATCCCATCAAGATGGAGTTAGCAGCAAAGTACACTGTCTGATACCATAGGTTTAACCTTGTACTTTAGAGCTTTCAGTAGCCTCTTGAAGAGAGGCCATTTACCAAAGTTATTTCTATAAATGCAAGCCTATTTGTTGCTAAATTCTTCCAGCCAAAGCCACTTTCTTCCTGTAATAGTTAATGTAAGTGACTATTTGTATTTTAAAAGGCACAGCTGTCCTGGTGGGAAATGCAACCTGCAACAGTTCAGGATGACTGATGAAAGTAATTAGTTATACACAATTGAAAGTAATGTGTATACTTATACACAATTGATACCTGGTCTAAATTTTTACATTACCATCTCTGTGCCTTCTAATTCCTACATAGTTTCAAAACACTGTTCCGGAAATTAACTTACCCATAGTATCAAACCTGCCAAAATGAGGAATTATTTGTTAGCATAGTTCACTTTAAAAAAAAACACCTAATATTCTGTTAATATAAAAGAAACTTAGTTTACTGACCATGAACTATGACTGTGTCAGATGATGTACTGACAGCCAGGATACAGAAAAAGACTTAAAAAATCGATCATTAATGACAGGAGCTAATCTGGTAAAGCAAAACATTGTTAGCATTGTTAGCATCTTGATGATCTTGAGTACAGCTAATTATAAGCAGGCTCCAATTTTCTTTCACTGTTTTATAAATTAATTTCCGTCCTTTCCATGTGTCCTTTGAACCTAAGAATATGAAGTAACTTCCCTATCAGGGGTTAAAATGACTTCAGATTTTCTATTTGACAAAATCCTATCCTAAACACCAAGCTACATATGTTTGTCTCTTCTTCTGCAAATGCAAGTTAATGATTTGTTTGAAAGAGTGTAGCAGCAGTACTGATGGAGAGAAGTGAGTGAATTATTTCTTAGGACTAAGTCAGAGTCGCTGCCTTCCTCTCTTCTTACGATGTGAAGTGTAGACGGGTGCATTAGAACTCTCACAGCCTTTCATTTTTATTTTATGTTTTTCTTTCATTAAGTTGAAGCTTTCTATTCTTCTTAGACTTTTCCTTTCTTTTCTTTCTTTTTTTTTTTTTTGCCTAACATCTGAATTTAGTGTTCTAAGTTCTCCAGTTTCGAGACATCTCTGCTTGTCGTTACGCTGCACAAAGAGCGTGGACCTCACCTGTGGCTCACCTCGCTCGCTCGTCATTTGCTTTCGTTACATGTAAATAGGTTGTAATAGCTGATGCTACATCATTCCTCTCTGCACCAGTTTAAAGCATTCCCTCCTCCCCCATTCCCTTTTCCTTGTTTACACGTTTTGGGCACTTTCCCTCGTTCACCGCCTTCCTGGGTTTCGTAGGAAATAACTAGATATGAAATCAGTTCCATTCTAATGCGGCATGTTGAAAATTAGACCCATATAGGGGAAAATTGAGCTTTAAAAAAAGGCTGATTCTTAACTTCATACATAAAATATTTAGCCCAGCCACCTCAAAGCCTGTGAAGATTTAATTTGCCTTTTAATCTGCTGTTCCAAACTCTCTCTTGAAAAATGTCTGCTGGGAACCGCAGGTGGGTCGCATGTGGGGACGGCTCAGTGATGCTCAGGGTCCCGGCCGGGACCGACCCTCGCAGCCCCTGCCTGCCAAAGCAGACCAAGAATGCTGCTGCTCTTTCACAGGCCTCCTTTAAACTACATCCAAGTGTTGTTTGTCTTAAATTCAACCTCTTCCCAAAAGTGGAGACGAAAAGAGAAATCTCACGGACTTGTGTTGAGATACACCCACTTACACACCACACACCACCCAGGGGCTCAATTTTGTCTTAGCCGAAGAGGCAAGAAAGGGATCCCACGTTCTCCCATGCCCACCTCAAGAAACAAATAAAAATGCTTAAAAAATTTTTGAGAAAACTACCTCAGTTGACAGGATTCCACCTTTAGGATTTCTTCAACTTTTGAGTCTTACCTGTTGAGTGTAACTTTTGTAGCATTTTGCTTCTTTAAGCCAGCTAGTGAGGCATGACAGAGCAGAAGTGTGTACATGTTACTGTGATGGACCTCTTCCTAGCATGTTGCAGTTTTATTTTTAACAGATTGACAAGTGATATGAATGTAAAGATAATTGTGTACGTTTAAACGTGACAATGAAAATTGAAAATGTAGCTTCCATACTTGTGCATAACTCCAAAGTATTTTATTTTTATCAGTGTTAAATAGCTTTTTGTACAGGCTTCAATCCATTTTTCTGAAGTGTGCTGTTTTTTAATGAAAGTAACTATAATCTTTTCACATCCCATGGAACTTCTGTTTACACATCACAACTTTTTAAACTTACCATATTTTTCAAAATTAACTTTTTGGAGGGAGGAAAATTCTTGCTTGCTAAATGATACTAAACTGTTGTTTAGGCTCTTATAATTAGGTCCTGAGATTTTATAAAAATTTAGTCAGTAGCTTTTTAGGTTCTTCACTAGAGTTGGTTGTACATAAAAATAAAGAATATAAAGTGACCCCGAAATTTTTTAAATGTCTGATTTACGCACTGTTCTGTACTTTTGGAAGTATTTTAGTTCATGCATACCTTCACCATTAAGTCGAGCCCTCAGCTCCTCTGGGCAGTGTGAACCATTTGTTCTGTGTCGTGCTTTGGGGAGGGGACATTTTATTATAATACCTGCCTAAATCAAGCAGCCCCCTCAGAATGTTAATTTTTAAACATCAAAATTTGGTGAACTCTATACCCTGGAAGCAAGATTGCAATATGTTCAAATTTAAGTGGTGTTTAAAAAAGGAGAAAATTCTGGGATTTGTTATAATGGAAGCTCCATGAAGACAAATTGATAGGGCTTTATATTTTTTGATCACTTAAATAGCTATCAATGTCAATGTATGGAAAATTTTTCTTAAAACTTGTTCATGTTTATTTCAATCCATTTTTTTGTGGCATTTGGTGCAATAAACCTTTTGAATTTACCTTGAACATTTGTTTGTACATTGAATTTAGGACTTAAGAACTTAGAGGTCTCACTTCCATTAACTCATGCTGCTGAAATGCGTTTATTTAGTATATCAGTGATTTTCAGCAGGGGGGTTTGGGAATGTAGGGCCATTTTTATTTAGCAGAATGATGGGTGAAGGTGGTCAGAGGCTGCGGATGGTGGCAGAAATGTAATGTGTGGGACACCCCATGGAACAAAGAATTGTCCCACCTCCTGTGTGACTTTGAAATACCGTGCTGGACATTCATGTGAGTACAAAAAAAACCAAAACCAAAACAAACCCTGTTTATAATTATCTAAGTGAGAATTTAAGTCAGCTTTTGATAAAAGCACAATGTATTTTTCAGGTGATTTTTTTTAAAGATTTTATTTATTTATTTTTAGAGAGGGAAGGGAGGGAGAAAGAGAGAGAGAAACATCAATGTGCAGTTGCTGGGGGCTGTGGCCTCCAACCCAGGAATGTACCCTGGCTGGGAATCGAACCTGTGACACTTTGGTTCACAGCCCGCGCTCAATCCACTGAGCTATGCCAGCTAGGTTTTCAGGTGATTTTTAATATGTGCTGTATTTTTTCAGATGTGCCACTGTTGTATAAATTGAGGGAAGATTTTACCTTGTAAGGTTCAGAATTTTAACAAGAAGTAAGGTGATTTGCGAGACATTACCAACAGCCGCAGTACGCATGGAACCGAGCCACCAGTGCGGTACATCTAGATCAGTCTCCGTTTCTGACGGTTGCATTCGTGGGGACTGTACATGTAGACACGAGTATCTGCCCTCTCCGTTATATTTTCTACTTTCAATCTAGTGCCCTGATATTTTTAATGTATTTAAAAATATATATTACTATAACTTTTAAAATAGTAACTCTAATGCATTGTATTGGTTTGTTATAAGTTATATGTTTAAGTGGGTTGTATTATTTATGACTTTTATTTTAGGAAGGTAAAGAGCATTATAAAATATTTACTATGAAATGGATGAGATCATTGATATTCATCGTCTCAGGAAAAAATATGCTATTAAGTGTAAGTGTAACTTTTGTAGCAACATAATACCATACTGAATTTTGTTGTTTTAAGACTATAGAGAGAAATAACATTGTTTTTCAAAATACTTTTGGATTAAATGAAAATTTTAAATGTTTTCTATATTTCCTCAAGCAGCTTTAAAATCATGCTATTGATAAAGAACTTAAACAGACCCATACACACCACATTGCTTTTTGGTTCCCTGGTGTCTGGACTGTTTTGTCAGATGCTTTATATATATTTCTTCATTTAATCCCCACACCTGGAGGTGATGGGTACCTATGATACTTGAATGTATGAACTTGGTTAACCCATGGCACCCAGATGTTTGGTCAAACACCAGTGTGGATGTTGCTGTAAAGCAGTTTTGTAGCTGAGATCAACATTGAAATGCATAGACTCTGAGTAAGCAGATTGCCCTTCCTAATGTAGGTGGGCCTCGTTCAGTCAGTTGAAGAACTCAAGAGAAAACAGACAGACCAAGGTCCCCAACAGAAAGGGCATTCTGCCTCTAGACTGCCTTTGAACTTGAACTGCAACATTATTCTTGCCTGGGTCTCCAGCCTGCTTGCCTACCCTGTAGATATTGGATTTGCCACCCTCTATAATCATGTGAGCCAGTTTTTAAATTTCTTAAAATCAGTCAATCAATCTATACATCCCATTGGTTCTATATCTCTGGATAGCCCTTAAGTACCCATATTAAGTACCTAATATAGGTACTTAAGCTATAAGTCCAGTGATACATATGGTGACCCCAAAGTGGAATTGGATGGTCAGAATATGGTCATACCAAGGTATATGAAGTAGACTTTGGGGCAAGGACCTTTAACACAGCAAACAGTACAGATGTCAGAGTAATCCCTTAAGGGTTAAGATGCAAGTCACATGCTCTCTGAATGTGTGCTGCAGAGGAGATGTTGGAGAACAAGAAAAGTGAAAATGAGAGACAGCCCTCTGAGAGGGCAAGGAGGGCAATGCTCCGTTCACAGTGGAAGAAAAAAGCTCCCGTCCTGTAAAGAGGAATCCTGCCATTGCCTGTTACCCCCTTACAGCCGCGCTCCTCCCTCAGCGTTCACGGGTCCCGAGTCGTCAGCTGTCATTCATTTCCTCATTTTCCAGTTCTCAGTCTACTGACTTTTTCTACTCAATGTGTAAAAGGAAAATTTCACCCATGTTAACCTTTTCTTCTATGTTCCTCTATATTCTAAATTTCTCCTTCCTTTGACAACTAAGCTTTTTCTACAGAGGTTTACTTGGTATTCATTCCTCTGCTTCCTGTTCATTTTCTCCTTACTGCCACGTGCTCCCTCACCTCCCTCCCTACTCTCCTGAGGTCTGAGGTTCAGTCCCTACTTTGTTCTTTTCCATTGTTACTGAAGGCTTTCTCCACACCCAGTCAGCGCCACCGTTGAATCTAGTACTTCCTTTGTGTCTCTAGTACATCACGTTTCCTCCTTTCTGTTTACCTTCTGTTAGTCCCTGCTCATTTGTCAGTTGAGCGACCAAAATGCCTTTCCGACTCATCTCCCTTTCATGTCAAACAGTTTTTATCTTCCAGGCAGTGTCTGAATAATCTTGCCATAATAAAATCGATTCCTATCACTTTTGTTTAAAGAAGTCAGCCCAGTAAATTCCAAGTTCCTAGTATCATGCATTCAAGTGACACCACTGGCCCCTCTTCCCTTGTCTAATCACCACATATATGTCTTGGCACACTCTTTTCCAGCCATATTGAACCACATGTACTTCCTCCAAAATGCTAGGTGGCGGTTGCCTTTGCCTTGCCAACTTATTCTTCCCAGTCTCCCTTCCGTTCCCTCACTCCATCAAGCCCTTCCTCTTCCTAGCTCAACATGCACTAATTCACTGTCAGATCCTCTAGCCCCTCACCACTCAAGGTCCTGGAGCAGCAGCACATGCATTGCCTGGGACCTGGAGAGAAACGCACAATCACAAGGCCCATCCGGGACCTACCAACTTAGAATCTGCATCTTAACCCGATCTCTAAATGATTCCCGTACACATTAAAATTTGAGAATGACTGCTTTTGCATCCAGTGTGAATGAATGGATGAGGGAAGAATGTATCAATCACTGAAATTATATCCATGAAATAGAAATGGATGATGATAAAATGTGTCACATACACATAAATTTGATAATACTTTAGTGGCTATTATTTATGTGGAGACCAAAAAAGTGAATCAAATATCAAAAAGGGAAAATAAGTGGACTAGAAGGTAGAATTTGGGAGGCGTTTTGTGATTTTTAAAATGGAGAAATTTGGAGAAATATAGAAAATACAGTTTAGAAATTTGTCCAACTTTCAAAAATATTTGTAAGCATTTTAGGTAAATGTATATAAAAATGATACATACTGTTAAATACCATAAATTGCATTTTAGAAGTATTTTAATTGCATTCCAAATGTAGGTTTATAAGTAGAAATAATCCAAACCCAAGGAACTGAATATATAAAATATTCCCATTTTGAGCCATCTGTCTTAATAAGAAAATATGATATTATGTACAGCATTATGCTGCTAAGATTTCCCCCAAAGCACTCAGTACCACTGACAGATTTCTCCCTTCTTGAGGCAGCTTCCAGTGCGTGGTTCTGAGTCCTCTAGCATAAGAATGGAAAGGGAGCTGGCATTCCTGATAAGTATAGTAATAGGTAGCCACTCACCAGTGGCTAGTGTGGGGTGTTATGTTGGAGGCTTTGCACACGTTGTATTTATTATTTGCTTTTGAATTTATAAGCACACTTGCTTTGAGTTATTTTCACTGAAGAGGATTTGTGTTAGATGGGGGGAGGCTGAGTACTTACTAAAGTGTTATCTGTAAGAATCCTGGGGGATATAGCCCAACAAAATGGACTTGGGAAATAAGTTTCTAACATATCTCTGGACATAGAAGAATGTCTAGTTGATAGAAAGATTATTTTGAATGATACAGTGTTTTGTTTATCTCTGGAAGGGAAGAGATATGCCTAAGTGATTGATTACTCTCACCAACAATGAGTTAAACCCGCCTCAGGTGCCTCTTTGATGTGATTCACTGAGAATGACAGAACCTCACTTATCTGGGATTCCTGCCCGAAACACAAAACCCAAATCTACTCATGAGAAAGCATCAGATAAATCCAAGTCAAGAGATGTTCTACAGAACTGGTCTATACTCTTCAAAATGTGTCAGTGCTGTGAAAGTCCAAGACTAAGGGAATGTTCCAAAGTGAGAGAGACTAAAGAGACATAGGAGTAATGTAATGCACGATCCTAGGTGGGATCTTAGATCAGAGAAAAATGCAAAGGACATTATTGGGTCAATTAATAAAGTTGGATTATGAACGGTAGATTAGATATCCATTTTAAACAGGTATGCCACAAGAATTTTTAAAACACACAATACCTGACTAGTCAGGGACACTGACCTCTTTTCCCTTATGTTGTCAAATAAAAAAAGACGACAGCCAACACAATAGCCATTGGTATGAACGAATCAAAATTATACCCATCTTTTTGTCAGAGTGGCAAACAATATAAAATCTTTTTTGATGAGCTGCAGAATTTTAGTAATTTATGTGTGCCATGAGATGAAAAAAGCTGAAAGTCACTGGATTAGATAATAATATTGTATCAATGTTAAATTTCCTAAATCTTACAATTGTACTGTGGTTATGTGAGAGCATTTCCTTGTTCTTGGGAAATACAACCTGAAGTATTTAGGGGTAAAGGAGCATCATGTCTGCAACTTACCATCGAGTGGTTTGGAAGAAAACAAATACATGTGTGTGCATATGTGTATATTTGCACACATAGAAAGCATTAAGGCAAATTACCAACTGATTATTACCAACTTCACCGGATTACATCTGGATGAAGAATGTATCAGGAGTTCACTTTCTCCTGTTCTTGCAATGCTTCTGTAAGTTTGAAATCATTTCAAAATGAAAAGTCTCTTAACAGATTTTTTAATGGACAATTTTTTTTAACTTAAAAAACGTAAATAAGTTTGTTCAATTGATTTAGTGACTGATAGAAGAGGCCTTTGGGATCATATAATTTATGTTCACTCCAGTCCTACACAAATTTAGTTCAGAGATGGAAAGTAACTAATCCAAGTCTCTTCTACACACACTATCGTAAATCCTCTCATTTGGACCCAGCCCCAAACTCAGACCACATAAGAATATTAGTGGCTGAACTGCTCCCTTTTTCAATACAATGTGTCCTTGGGGTCAGGACCTACCAAGGAGGACTTCTGCAGCCCCCTCACAGAACGCTTCCAATAGATATGATTAATTGCTCATGAAACAGACTTCTGGCGACAGAGGGTAAGCAATATTCTAGGGAGTTGGCAAGAGTCAGTGGAGTCAGGAGACTCTCTTCGTGTACAGAGCATGAGTCTCTGAATGTAGCCCAGCTGTTCTGTGTGCTTTTCTACCATGGAATCTGTGGTCATACTGGAAACACTGCGTGACTGCAGTGTGCACTGTGCTGTGGGATTATGCGAAAGAACCTTAGGAAGTAGTTGTTAATCTGAACATATACTCTTACACATTCTTTACTTGATTCCCATGGTAACTCTACAAAATATTCATGACACATACTAATATTCCCATTTTACTTATTAAAAAAAACCCATATAGGGGAATTATACAACTTGCTCAAGATTCCATAGATAGTAATGGGAAAAATTTGAACTGGTGTGTTCTCACTCTGCTAGGCCGTCTGTATGGGTTTCAAGAAGGTTTAAAGATGTGCCTCTGTTTCACAGACAGGGCTTCCTCGGGTACTGGAAATCAAGGGGCTGGCCTCCCTCCAGGTCCCACCGCATGATCGATGGGCAGTGGTAAAGACTGAACCCCACAACCTCTTGTTTTCTTCAGCTACAAAGTGGGAATAATACCCACCTAACCACACCATATATACATTGCTGTGGAAATCCAATATAAATTTGAGAATCATCTGATAGGTTAAAAGGCTCTGTAAAACATTATTAGCAGTATTACTGTTGTATAGCATTCTCTAATGTATACACTGAGAGAGCTTGATGTTTTCTATGATTCAGAAAAGCAGATGATCATACCTCATTTTTTGCTGGCTTTGGCAGCTTAGGTAGAATGGAAGCTCTTGGCGGAACTGCCTTACTCTGTCTAACGAGGGAGGCCCCTTTGGAATTTCTTTGATTGGTGTTCTCATAATCGCCCATATTCCAGGCAATTCGACCACGGCTGAATCTTCCTAGCATATTCATAATATAAGGTTTTGGTTGCCTGAAACAGGAACAAATTGGATGGTTCTCAGATCAGAAGGACCTACAAACAAGGCCACCAGTTTTCAAGTAGTTGAGATTGGTCTGTTTACCTTGTGATTCAAGGTGATTTCTAGCCACAAGGCTTGGGAAAGCTAATGTCCAGAGTCAGTTGGTTCTGAGAAGTTTCCAGGCTCTGCCCACTCACCCCACTGGACATCCAGCTGCTGGAGACGGGGCTGCTGCCTTAACCTAGGAACCTAACTGATGCATTTGCCCCTGGGTCACGACTGCCCCCCGTGTCCGACAGGCCGAGCATACAAGATGCTGAGAAGTGGAAGAAGGTGAAATGCTCAGGCTGAGACTCTGTGAGACTCACAAGTTCTGCAGGACACCGTTTGCTCATGCTGAGATCTCAGGGGAATTCAGGGAAGCACCAGCTCTGTGACTCCCAACTCTGGCTTTGGATAGCATACTAGAAGAATGATCTAGGCTTTATTCTCTTTCCCCAGGGAAATGCTTTTCTAGATTCCCACACCCTTAAATTAGAATATTATTCGAGGACTACCTTCCCGTTATAAAGGGCCAGCTCAGAGGGGAAAAGACAAAGCATCAGAGGACGAGGATCTGCCATCCCATTTAGAAGGCTGTCATCACTCCAGAGAGCCCCTTGGCCACTGCAGAGTTCTCTTCCTTGAATCTGAGTTCTATGGGACCCTAAGTCCTTTGGATAAAGATTTGCGGCATGTCTGCATCGCTCTCACTCAAGGACATGTGCACACAACTATACCCAGCATCATATGCGGCAGAGGAAACAGCAGTTTGGGACAAAGTTCATCTATCATAGAGCTTATATACCAGTGGGGGAGATGGACAATAAAAATAAGTCAGTTAAATATTTGGGAAGTACCATGAAGAATAATAAATCCAGATTAGGAACAGAAAATGCAGGGCATGCTATTTTTGTGAGGGGAAGCAGGAGAGGGGGAGGTAATGCTTAAGTCAAGAGCCAAATGAAGAGAGAGGCCATGGGTCCTCAAGGCTTGCAGGGTCAGACACTCCCTTCCACTCCCTGGAATCACAGAACCCTGCCTGGGGAGGGGACCCGCCCTGCCTCTGCAGCACACCCTCCCCTCCCCGACACTCCGACACTCCCGTAGCCTGCAGAATCTAGTTCCAGCTCCTTAGCAAAGCACACAAGAGTGTTTGTTGTTGCTATTTGCTTTTTGTCTGTTTTCTCTCTCTCTTTCTAAAATGGTCTGTCCACAGGGACCTTTCTGGTCTGCTCTGCAGCCCCTCAATCCTCTCTCTCTCTCTCACAGACGCACACACACACACATGCACACGCACACACACACAGCTTCACAGTGCATGTACTGCCCACCTCTTTGAGCTCTGAAGGAGCTGGGCTCTCAGACCTTCAAATTTCTGCTTCCACTATTCTTTCTGCTGGTAGCTCCCTCCCTCCCTTCCTGACAAACTGTAGCCAAGGCTTTAAATGGCACCATTGCTGTGAAGACTTTCCTTATTCCTGTCAGGCAGCACTTTCTCTCCTTCCACAACATGTTACATGTGAATTCTTTTGTAGAAACTATTAGAATATATTAAATTTCCAGGGCAGCAGGCTCTCTCCTCCAAACTCAGTGCTCCTTAAAGAGCCCAGAATATGTCTCATTCATCATCGGCTCCAGTGCCCGTTACCCTGCCTGACAGGTAGTTCACACTCAGCTAAACTATTCTGTGATGGATGGAGTAATGGGGGAGGGAGGGAGACCACCAGGGCGGAATTTCTTTTTATAAATTTTTAAAATTTAGTTCAGTCACAGTTTACATTCAATATTATTTTGCATTAGTTTCAGGTGAACAGCACAGTGGTTAGCCAGTCACATACTTTGCAAAGTGTTCTTCCCAATATTCCTAGTACCCACCTGGTCTTGCTTTCAAGCAGATCTACTTTCCCTCCCAACCCCCTCCACTCACCTACCCTGCAGCCTCCTCCTTGCCTCCCACCAATGGCAGGTGTGTGGAATGGATCCCTACACTCTGCTTTGTCTGTTTTTCTTTTTACAAATACAGATTAATAGCTGGGAATAGCCTCAAGAAAGTTTAAAGGGTAAAGATATTAATGGTTAGAATATGGGACAGGCATTGTTTATAATTCACAGTAGCTTGATTAATGGTTCATAGGGAAACCATTTCGTGCAAATGTGCCACATTTTCTTGAAAGTAATGTGTTATAAAAGTACTGATACCGAGTAGTTTAGAAAAGTCCTTGCACGTAGTTTGTCTTCATTGAAGCACTAAGGTATTTTATAATCTTTTATTTTAAATTCAGACTATCCTGTCCCTGAATCTTGAATCGCCAGGAGCAATGGCAAGTTAAAAAGTAGTTGTAATTCAGATTTTAAGGGTTTTATAGAAATACTAGCCGCACATAGTAGGGAGAATTATGCATATCATATTGAACTTAGAAATGAGCCACAAAAAGTGAAAAGAGGTAAACCAAGAAGCAGAAGCTTGGGCTCCAGATGGCGTGGGAATGTGAGGCCGTCAGTAATGGTTCACTGTTAGTGACAAATGCACAACAGCACACACACACACACATACACATTATCAAAACAATGCAACCAAACATTCTTAGCATAACATTCTTACTATTAACTTTTAGAGATCAGTTTTTTTCTTCTTTCTGAAATAATTCCAAGCTTCTAGAAAAGTAGAAGCACAGTATGAATACTTCTTTTTCTGAACTATTGGAAGGTGTGCATTGCCATGATACCCATCTCCCCCAAATACTTGCGTGTGTCATTCGTACAAACAAGGACATTGTACAAAACCTCAATATAACCATCGAAATCAGAGGAACTCAAGAAAGTTTACTTGTTTGAGTTGCCACCACCCAGTCGTCAGACACCATTCACGTTTCGCCGATTGTCCCTACAATGTCCGTTCCGCAGAAGGATCCAGTTCAGAACGTTAGGTTTTGTTTTCTCCTCTCCTCCATCTCCTTGAGTTCGTGCCTCGGTCTTCCTGGGATTTGCACACAGCCATGATGCTTTTGAAGGGCACAGACCGGTTATTTTGTAATGTCCCTTAACTTGGATTCATTTTGTTTCTTCTTGATTAGATTCAGGTTAGACGTCTTCAAGCAAGAATGACGCAGGATGGCCATGGTGTGACTTGTCCCCGTTCTGGTGCGGTTCACGCAGGTCGCTTGATTAAGGCAGTGTCTGCCAGGCCTCTCCCTTGGGAAATTACTTTTTCCTTTCGTTATTCGTATTTGTCAGGAAATACTTTGAAACTATGTCAAAAATCTCATCCTACATCAAATGTTCAATTCATTCTTTTATTTCTTTATATCAGTGTGGACTCATGGTTTCCTATTTTACTCAGTGGGCTGTAATCCATTTATAATGTTCATTTTCATGTTCAAGTTGTCCTAGATTTGGCTCGTGGGAGCCCTTTCAGTCTGTGTCCTTTTGACATGACCTTGTCATTCTTCGAGCATTTCCATACTTTCTAGCACAAAAAAGGTCCCAGGTTCATCTTTCCTCCCCTAGCCCCACGATAATCCATTTCTCAAAGGAACCCTAGTTCCTGTTATTGGAAGGTGGTATTTAGAACTCAAGATCTGAGTGCTGAGTACATCTCAGACAGCATTACACAGGGTTCATCAGAGGGTTCATTCTCATTTTTTTTTATTTACAGCTCTTTTTGACAGTGGGGGACATGGCTGTCATTCTCCGTCTGTATTTACTTATTTAACCAGTCTTTTTGTCTGTAACTGATCTCCCACTGCTACCAGCCCCCTTCCTTACTTCTCATATTGCTTCATCTACATTTCTTTTGGAAGAGTCTCATTTTTGCTTCTTTACCATTAGTATTCCCGAGAATTCCCTGTGATTCTCCTCTCTTGGTACACTGCCACCCACCTCCAAACTAGGCAGGAAAGAGCATTTATATCCAAGGATCCAACCAACATCAACATACTGATGTTTAAAATTTTTACTTTCAGTTCTACAATCTTAACATAAATTCCCAGCTTCTTACTGAGTGTAGGGACAGGATGTCTCATAGCTATTAATAACTTCTAGCATTTATTGAGATACATGAAGTTCCAGATACTATGCTAGTTGTTTCACGTCTATTACCTCTAATCTTCATAATAACCCCCCATGATAGGTATCATTTCCTAGCTTTTACACCTGAGATTAAATTGAATAAGTCATTTATTCAAGATCAAACAGTTACAAAGCAGTAAATCTAAGGTTTGAACTCAGAGTTGTCTGATTCTAAACTTATGCAATCACTTCATCTGTAAGATGGAGGTAATACTACTATAATACCCACTCTTTATGAGGACTGAACGAACTAATACTTCTAAAGCACTTAAGATAGTATCTGGCCCATAGTAAAAATTCAGTAACTGTTGACTATGTCGTCGTTATAGGATGCTGCCTCTCAACTCATCTCCCCATCGCTCCGCTTCCTCCCCCATCTGCCCGCAGATGCCCTCTCCTTCCTCTGTTTCCTGTTTTGGACAATGACATAAGCGTATACCCAGCCTCTCCAGAGACACATCAGAATTGCTTTTGACCTTTACATCTGCTCCTTCCCTCCACATGCGGCTGTCTGCCGAGCCTCACTGAGGCTTTTTCCAAACCTTACCACCGGCAACTAATTCGGGCTCCCATCATTGCAGGTATTCCAATGTCACTTCATTTGTCTTCCTTCAGTCTCTTCCCTGCCCCATCCATGCCGCAGACCGCTTTCTGCACCTATGACACAGTAGGTATTCTCTCTAACACACAGGCTTAGTATATCACTTCCTTCCTTAAAATTTTAAACCAGTCCGTTCCCTATAGAACAAAGCACAAGGTCTTTAGTGTGGAATTTAAAACACCGCACGACCTGGCCCCTGCGCTGCAACTCCCATCATGCCCTCAAAGCAGTGTCCTGTGTGTCAGCTGCAATGTCAGACAACGAGCCATTTCCTCAACACATCACCAAGGCTCACTTCTC